TCCCCCATCTTCTGCTGCCAGACATTACGTTTTCACTCGCTTCATGTACTACTTATAAGTAGCGCGCACCACAATATGACCTATTAGTTCATCGAATTATTGTTGGTTAATTTGAGTCAGGTTAAAATAAAAAGTGCAGACTACATGGTTCAGAACTATGCATGCCGCCAGTAGCTCGAGTCCTTTCGGATAATGTTGCTCAGAATTCAATTACAATAGCATATTAGTTGAATTCTTTCTACTGGTTAGTGTATTTTTGGCAAGTTGAGATTCTCTATAGGATGGAATTGCTTATCACATATGCCAAACCCCCCACCCCTTTATCCTGACATGAAGATGATAATAACCACAGAAGGGACTGAGACGGATGGGACAAATTTGGAGGAAATTACCTAACGTAGATACCTCTAGCCCAAAGAACACATTACGCCAAGAATTGGAAGCGAACTTAGAAAGAATGAAAAGCAATTGTGTAGAACTGGAAAGGAAGACTCAGATAGACAGACAGATACAACGCAGAACTTCGTACGTAAGTACATCAGTTTAGGTCGCCATACCACATCAGCACAGAGACGCAACTGTCAATTCAAATCCAAGAATGATAGCGATAGTAGAAGTATTAGCAGTAATGGGGAAGATCAGGGAGCGAAGATATGATCCGATAAGTATAATTCAGTGAGATGAATTCAGAAAGAGAAAGATAGAGGTGATCAGGAATTCAGAAGGTTAGAATTAGGGAGAACACAAAGAGTGGATGCACCTACACCATTGCAAAAGATTTTGAGCAATATCATTCAAGGTCTCTAACCATCGGTTACTATCGTCTCGCGGACACCAACCAGGTAACCTACATCTACCAACATGACTCAGTCCACTTGTCAGTGACTTCATGGATTTGTGCCATGTTTTGGTTTGGCCGCCCCTAACCTTCTTCCAACCTACATCATCGCTCGAGGCAGTCGATGGTTAGGCATTCGTAACACATGTCCTAACCACCTCAACTAATGAAGTTTCAATACTCCATCTGCTGATTTTCTATCCCTACCTAGTACTCGTTTCCTAACGACAGCAGTGCTTACACGGTTAAAGGAACACTCAAGAGAGAGTTGAAAGGAGAATGCTTATCGGCAGCCTATGCTCCATTGGAGGGAAATAGACGTACTCATTAGCTTCTTATCAATTCTAAATTCCAAAATGACATAATATGTAACTTCGTATTCCAATTTCTTGTATCAGATTTTAACTTTTTCAGTAAAATCACTTCTGTGATTATTCTGATTTTTTTACTATTCACCACGTTATGCTGATAACCAATGTCAACTTTGGCTGACGTGTATATTTCCTAATAGATTCAAAGTTGATTACAACTGACCAACTATTATTTAATAGTATGCTTCAAAATATAGCATTATCCTGGAGTAGTATATATTAACTAGAAATAACCATGATTATCAACTGCACCGCTATTTACATTTATCCTTCAACTACTAATGAAAATTGATCTGTATTAAGAGTGTATACCGATCTCACGTAAACAGTCCATAGCAAACTGGATAGATCTTTCTTTCCAGCAATTCACAATACCATGGCGGTCATTGGGAATCTAATGCAGTGCAACTTACAAAGAAGTCAAGACCAAATACAATATATATTTACGGAAGACAAAATATATACATCTAACATTTCAAACATGCATTTGTAATACAAACAGGTCCAAGACTATCTTCGCTAACATCTCTTCTGGTTCTTAATACACTCTGATCGTACCATGCACTTTGATCTTCATACAGTTTGCTCTGTGACAAAAAACTTCTAGGTGACACTCCCCTGAATGCTACTTATCTTCAGCTACATGAGTCTTATCCACCATACCCAGACCCTCTATCTTACGAGCAATACATTGAGAGTAAAGCAGTTATCATTTAGCATCGCTAGGTGATACACATGTTACATGGTGAATTGATCTCAGTTGGAGATGTATCCCTGTATGATTCTAATGGTTACGCGTTATCCACGAAACTTGAAGGCCATGGGTTCGATTGCTATAGGATTATGTATAGACTGCTAAGGAATCACACACTAGATCTGGGAAGCTATCTATTACTCAATGGTTCTAGAATCAAGATCAATTTGAATGTAGGGTGTTGGCAGCAGATAGTTGATAAAAAACAATAGATCAAGATCCAAAGGTATCTGGTAATCGTTAGAAAGGTTTACCGATAATTTTCAACCATATGACAGATTATTTCTGAACCTAAAATAGTCGTGTTAACGTTTCAGACTGTGAAAATTAATAACAAAGCTTGTACAGAAATCATAAGATGGTTGATGTGAGATCGCTATTGGAAACGCACAAAGCACTAGACAGCCCATTCCTGCTAGTACGGGAATTATAGGCAGTGAGCATCCACCGACCAGAAAGCAGAAATTCAACCTAGCACCTTCAGTCTCAAGCGCGAATGCTTAACTCAACATTCTACACAACTTCAGATTATGAAACACAGGATTGAGTCCACCATGAATCATCATGATATAGTGAGCCAATCAGATATGGCCAAATGATCGTCAGAAAATATCTTAAGGAACAAATTTATATCACTATTTAGGAAATGCTGTCATATATATACAAGAGAGTATTAGGAGATATGATTCGGCAGTCAAACAAACTATCTCTTCCGTATTAGCCTCCTCGCCTAAATTATTCAGCTCCGACAGTTTAACAAGTATAGCATTCAGATATCGGACACCTCACATCATAATATATTACATCTTATCGATGATAAATTCCAAACAACTTAAATCATAGTTCACTGTTGACTACCTTCAACAACCATCTCACATCTCAACATAGTACACGTGATGTTAAATCATTCACGCTAGTACTGACTACATTGTGATTCGATCGACAGAATTCGATCATCACTAGATAAACTGGATATCAATCAGTAATTAACTGTTGGTACATACAATATGAATCTAATATACAACACATTGAATGAGACAAACAACCGAAACAAAAAACAATCCGACAACTATTTTCGAGCAATCCTTAGAAGTAGA